CTAAAGTTTGAAAAAAAACATATTTATTTCTATAAAATTCTAAAATTTGCATATGAATTAGCAAATATTATTATCCTCCACCCATACACGAGAGAAGCACAAAAATCATATACAAGATTTAGAAAGAGCCGGCTCGTTCGGAAATGATATATCGATAGATGTCAATCATAGTTCAATTCAACTCGGTCTATCTCAATCAATTCAGTGAACAGTAATTTGGTTCGACCCAATTTGACAACTATTATAGTAACTTTACTTGACTTACCTCGATCAACACAACATCTAACTAGCTTGGACTTGATAAGATCGGGCCCAAGTTTGAATCATGAGAGAGAAATAGCGATCGAAATTTGGATCTCATGATGGATTAATTTTGCTTTGTTAAAAAAAGGGAAATTATCTCCCTTTTTTTTCAATTATAAATTGAGGGGAGGGAACGAGGGAAGATGGGTCAACAGGCAAAGGTCAAGAACGTCCAAATAGGTGCAGCCAAAGGCGCATAAATAATTGGTGCGTGTCAGCGGAAAGATAGGCAAGGCGAGGGGAGGGGGGCGGCGTAGGGGCCAACTTGGCTTGCCTTCATGCATGCAGGCATGCATGTCCTCTTCCCACTCCGGCGACGTCCTCGGTGTTGATGACGACGCCGGGGTAGGCGGAGGCGGTACGTACGACGGGGTCAGAAGAGCCGGACGAGCCACGGGACCGGAGGTGCCCCAAGTCCCGAGAGACAGTCCGCGGACAGGGAGCTTGTCCTCAAGGGAACAACGCCCATTTCTTCCCCCCGACTCTCTCATCCCTGTCTCTACCCCACTCATCTATGTAAAAGGCTCTCCTCTTTTACCGAGGACATACTATGTTCTACCGTTCACCCCCTTCCCATTCTTCTTATCAGCAATAGTCTGGCATCTATTTCTCTCTGACAATGATAATGTCTGCAATGACTTGATATTGTGCAGAGAAGGAAAACTCATGGTTATGTTGTGATGTGAGCTAAATATAGGAGCTGTTCACTCTCCTTGTACATGTTAAAGAGGTCCAAAAATTAGCATTGTCATGTGAGAGCTGGAAAACTAGTAATGATGTGTTCTGGTGTATTCTGAAGAACAAAGACACCAAACAGTAGAGAAAGAAAACTCATGGTGACAGTAATGATATGTTAAGAACGAAGGAACTAATTAACTCAGAGATGGAAGGAAAGCCATACAAGATCTTGAAAACTAGAAATGATGTGTTCTGGATTTAACTATGAAGAACAAGGCAAACAAAAGGAAGTAGCAAAAACGAGTTTCATATATGCGAACGGTAAAGAAAGAAACCTTCATGGTTATGCTCACATATTGTTTGATGTATCTCTGTAGGATAGTGATGATAAGTTGAGCTAAGTAGGAGTTGTCCACTCCCCTGGTACATGTGAGAGGACCAAGGACTTTGTGAGTGAGACTGCACAGGAACATCTAAGAGATGGAAGGAGTTAAAGCTCAACATTGTTAACCATATAAAACCTGGAAAACTAGCAATGATGTATTCTGGTGTAGTCTGAAGAACAAGGCAAAAAGGAAAACACATCGAAGATTCAGAAACCACTTACAAGATCTATTTCTTGATGATCTCATTATTGCCAGATTACTGTCCTGATGGACCCAAAGGTCAAGCACCAAAGCTTGTAAAGCCCACATGTTCAACTTGATCTGACAAAAAAAAATAAAAAGAAACAATTGATCTGACAAAGCTCAGCTCTCTGATGAAATGCCTGGCCCTTCCAAGGACTAAAGTCGAGAGAAAACTACCACCATCTACCATGAGGCATCAGTCATCTATCTGGAAATGATTGGTGCAGCTTAAATTTCCACCAACCCATCCATAGACCTCATGCAGAGCATAGTAATGTCAATCGTCCAGGGAGAAAAGCCATAGAGCTTTTCCTACTGGTTACAGAACCTTCACAGGAGGAGAGAAGTTTACTCTCCCTGTAGAAAAGAGAGAGGAGGACTGCCACAGAGGCCACACCTCTACATAGAGTATATGCATTTTAAATAGTTTGAATACTAGGTTCCTATGCCCATGAGGCGTGACTCTTGTCTTATCCCTTCTCTCATCTCTCTCCGCCAGTCACCACCCACACATGGACTCAACTATAAATAGACCCTCCTGGTCACAATCTTTCCTCAATCCTCTCTCTCTCTCTCTCTCTCTCTCTCTCTCTCTGATTTCTCAAGTTTAGTGGAGAGACCTGCACCATATCACCCTCATGACTATATAGTAGGCCATTTTGTGGGTTGTGAGGATGAAGTATGAAAAAAGTATGGAAGAATCTGTAAAGCTCAGGAGGGATAGCGCCATAGAAGATGAGGAAGGAACTCCCAAGTTCTCATCCAATGCGCTATCCATCCTGAGCTTCATGGCTTCTCCTTACTATTCGATACATCTGATGGCTTGGTAAAATCTTCTTTCTTCTCTTCAATATTATTCTCTATATATAAGTTGATCATGATAATTAGTTCCAATAACTCATTCTCTCTCTCTCTCTCTCTCTCTCACCCCGCATGTATCAAACAAAATCCCTTCGACCCAAACATGACACTAGACATCTTCCATTTTGCAAAGAAGACAAATGTAATAGAATGGAATCATATGCCAAGACAGCAGAACACAATGGCTCACATTTTAGCAAAACTTGCAAGGCTACATAATGTTTCTTTTTTTGGAGTGGCGATATGCCTCCGAGCTCCTTGTATGAACTCTTTAATCTAAGTTAAATTTCTTTCATTAAAAAAAAAATATATATATCTACCCTGTGATGCCTACAAATTGTCCACAAGAAACAAAGTTTTGAAATAGTGTGTTGGTTTCACTGCCTACCATGCTTCGACTTCAACAGCTCCTATAAAAATACTTGCAAAGACTCAAATTTTCTACCTTTTTACTAGTCTCTTTTAGGCATTAAAGCATCTCTCTCTCTCTCTCTCTCTCTCTCTCTCTCTCTCTCTCTCTCTCTCTCTATATATATATATATATATATATATATATATATATATATGATGATGATGATGATGGTGATGATCCTTAAGTTATCTCCATATGGTCTCATCTAACTTTTGACAGCTTAGAAGAGAGAACAAATGAGAATACAATGAGTGAAGACATGTCCTAACACTTTAGTTCCACATCCATCCACACACTAATACAAGACAATCCACTTCTAAACGAAGAAACATAAATATAACAAAGTAAAAGGAAGAAACTAAAATGCAAGTCAATCCATGATTTTTCACCTTGAATACTTGAAAGCAAGAACTGCATATATTTCAAGAGATAAAATGCAGGCAGACTAGACTTTCAATTTTCCTGATAAGACTTTAGTAATGCTCAATCAAGAAGTCCATTTTGTATTAAATTGTTGAAGCAGTCATGACTCGTGTCAAATCATAAAGGTGGAGTCATGACTTTCTGTTTTTGTTGTCAATAATGACCAAAGCCTCGTTTGACAGAGACATATTTCAAACTTTCTTCCTTGGGACATGGCTCATATCAGATCATGAAGGTGGAGTCATGACTTCATTTTATGCTATATTTTCTTGTTGTTGTCAGATAATGACCAAAGCCTAAAATTAAGTGGTGTTTGACAGACATATTTCTTTCACAATCTTGGGACTTTATATAAGTTGGTTTCCAGACAAAAGAAAGTTTGACTTCACAGAAACTTGGTGTTCATTTTGTTTCCTCAGGAAATGATCACATCATTTTCATGGTCTTTAATCTACTACTAAAATCCCAATGTATCAATATATACAGCCTATTTTGGTATATAAATAATTAAATATCATTTGGTTTGCAGTGAACTATTTGTACAGCATGAACAAAAGAACATTGTAATATTTGCCAGAATGTTGCATAGATATTGTTCCATGTAGTCATCTTTTTTAACTCTTCAAAGATCTGCATGATCTAAGAAGCACAAGTTTCTTACCTTGTTATTACTTAGTGGATCAACTTCTACAACTAAAATCACCAATTATTGCTACATGATTCCTAAAGTCAGATTAGTTAAATTCAATATTTTAGTATATGCAGTGTGTGTGAATATAAGAAAACAATTGTCTTCACCTTAAATATTTCTTATTTTTATGACAAGGAAAGTGCAGAAATGAGAATAATTTAAAGCCAAATGGAAAAGAGAATGAAGAGCAAGTTTCAAAAGAGAAAAACCTATGAGAAAAGTTGTTTAACACTGCCTAATAAAGAGAGATGAATCACCAGTAGAATGACTTGCTAATAGATGAACTGCTACATTTTGATCCATCTTAAGAGTTTGATAATATTCCATCAGCATCATTTTATCCCTGACAGAGAGTTGCTAAATCCTTTTCTTAATAAAACGAAGAAGAGGAAGGCCGTAGTGTTGACTGTGTATCTAGCTTAAGTTTCTAATCTCAACTGGTTTCCTCACCTCTTGGATGATCTCATTATTGTTTAATCATGTCAGGTCACATATCTAAATTGTTTTCCTTTACTCACCCAGTGTAGTATTGTCGACTTCGAAGACTTGGTAAGCTGCGTAGCAAGTAGGGAAACTAGAAAATCCTGATTCATACAAGGAGAGAGAGACCTAAGGAGACAGTCGCTTCTTGTATTTTTCTACTTTCTCATCACACCATCTATACTTATTGACAAAATAATAATGAATAAGTATAATAATATATGAAGGGCGAGAATTCCACCTTGATTTCCAAAGTTCCAGTGTTCTCTTCCACACACATGTTAGCTCTGGGCGTGGATGAGAATAAGGGGATCAAAGAAATCATAAAATTATGGATGAAAGTAGAGATGGATAAATTTATTTCTACAAGATATATTTAACTAATTAATACAATCATCAGTTATGTTAAAATTAATTGATATCCCATGCCTTATCTAGTGCACGTGTCTGTAATGTCCGTGAAACCTCTGAATTCTGCTTAAGCACAGATCTAATATCTAATATCATAGCAATTTGATGTCTGAACATAATCCACCAAATTAATATTTCTAATATCAAATATTGCATATAATGTTGCAGTGATCTGAATAAAAATAACAGTTTATAGTAGATGCCAGGTCACACTCAAAATCTAGTGACCCAATGGTACAGATCTGAAAAATCACAAAATTGCACAAACCGATCTCCAAGGAAATGTGCTTATTTGGAGTTGCTGGCCAGAAAAAGCTAGTTTACATGCTTAGAGTACAAAAGAAAAGTGCTGAAATCTGAACTATACATGTTCCTACTTACTTGCTTTGGCTTGTGTATCCTTTTGTTTCTTCTGCAACATTTGCCCACACATTGGCAATCTTTTCTGCGTAAATCACCTGAAATATCATGACCTCATAAGTACCCATAGAGGAAAGGGAAATATGTCCAAGTGACAATCTCATATGACGTGCATAAAGTTAATCTTCTTATAAAATAAGCACAAAACATTGAAATCATTTGCATAGACGATGTCTTGATGCTTTACTACCATAAAGGATGTTACATGATGTTAACAAGGCTCCCACACATGGTTTGTGATGCGGCGGTATATCGCTTGGTATAGGCAGTATGTACTAGTCCGACAAGGGAGTAGTATGTGAACCACCCTATACTGGGCAATCCAGTTAAATTAATAAAATATTCAAAGAAATGGTGGGACCCATGTCCAAATCAACATTAAAAGAAAGATATTAGGGCTCGCGAACACGAGCCTTCTTCTTGCGTAAGGTGTCGCAGCCTTACCGTCGCTGCTTCGCCTTTGCTACTGCTACTACTTCGCCATTGCATAAGGTGGCGTTGTTTTGCCATCATCGCTTTGCCCCTGCTATCGCTGTTGCTTCGTCGTTGAGTAAGATGCTACTGTCTCACTATCGCCACTTCCCCACTGCTGTCGTTATCACTTCACCGTCGCGTAAGATGACGCCTCCTCACTATTGTTGTCGTTGCTTCCTAGGTATGTTGCCGCTGTTCTTTTCCTCCTCTTCTTTCTTATTCTTCCTTCTTCCTCCACTTCTTCCCTCTTGCTTCCTCCTTTGTTCCTCTATCACACCTTCCACTTCTCTTTCTTTTTCTTCGTTGCGGAGCCACTAGTACACGCTAGTGTACCATGTGTTGATACACCGGTATAGACCAGTATGCACCGTTCCAGCAATTTGCTGGAAGGGGTCCAGTACCCAAAAAGGCAAACCCTACTCCTACATGCTCAAATAATAGGTCCTATAGTTTTTTGTAAGGCAAGGCATTATGTCTTATAGCAACTCAGGAACAAATGTCATTCCATACATTTTTGAAATAATCAGAGTTTGTGAGGTTAAGTTATTTGCTATTCATACAATATTTCCTAGAATTATTCATATTCCTTAATGTTGAGCGACTTCATAAAGCAATTTAAGACCAAAACACAAATAATGAAAAATTACCGACTTGCTCTCTTCATTTATTGTCACTTTCAATCACAACTTGTATTTTCACTACTCATAAGCATAGTCCACACAAAATATTTGAAAGAAAGCTTGACAAGCTTATTAGGTAGTTAAAATTCTCTGACAACGATAGATATTACTAAATCAAGAGTGAGTGTACCTGATTACTGACAAAACCTTTAAGCATCACTAGAAAATCCTCATGTCTCTCCCTGTCTAGCCTCTCAAGTTCATTCTTGTTGTTTTCCTGCATTACCACTATAACTGAATAAGATATATCCATTAAAGTTTATAGGAAACACTTCAACTCAAACACCATAAATCATGCTGCAGTAGAAATTGCAGTTTCGAATGAATTCATGAACTGGATAAATTACAGTCTAGATTTCTAAAGCAGACCTCAGATAGCTAGAAGAAAAATGAAGCCAGTAGAATATACGATATTTTGTTGAACAACATCCTTTTTCAAATATCCTAAAGTATATCAAACATAACTCCAGAACTTAAAAATGCATGATGCAAGTAGAAACAAACATTCTTATGTCAGTTTCCACAATGTAAACATGGAGCAACTCGATGAATATGTGTTGGTGCATCTGTAGATTTGAGCTAGTACCCTAACAGGAGGATTGAATTTCAATCCTTAAAATCAAACAGAGAGCCTATATTGCAGATCAATGGCATCAAGCATGATCTACATTATTTTAAACCATAGAAACAAATATACATACTAACTTATGTAAAACATGTTATAAAAAATATGTGGTTTTGATGGTAATAGAAGATTTTCTAACTTGAATAACAAAACAGATGCAACAATATCTGTTCCACTTTTAGTATGCATTCATCTAATGAGAAAATTAGAACAAGATCAGTGTTTAAATCCTTAATTGAAGTAATGGAATGAAATTAAAATACAGTAAGAACCATAAAATGGAACAAAATTAAAATGCAAGAATTTTTGTGTTGACAGAACAGCAGCCCAACCAATATCAAAGGTTAAATTGAATAACTTGTGATATTTCTAGTATGATTAGAATGCAGACAAAATGGTAGCCATATCCAATAAAATTAAATCATGACAAATCACAGTTAGAGCAACTTGGTTACATTTAGAACTTCAAAGGTATATAACAACACTGGCACTTGTACTGGTCATTATGCATTGAATCGTTTCCAAAATTTAGTACAGAACATGAAATTGTGGCACAGAAAAAAAAAAGAAGAAAAGACACCATATCTTTTTTATGCATACAAGATATCGACATGCTACAGTGTCCTTTTTATCATGTTCATAAAAACTGCTAACAAGTTAAAATGATTGGTTAAACTTTCTCTCACTTCAAAATATTGGCGATTCTAGGATTATCAAAAGGGTCAAATAATTATATATCAAACAATTTAAAAGGGAAAAGGTTAAATTATTTTGTCATTTAAGAATGATGTAACTCCTTATTCAACTCTGTGGGCTTACAATAGCAACAACAGGATTACCTTGATACACTCATAATCTTTTATGGCACAGATTTTAGCATCTTCAGTATTTCTGATTGTTTCTCTCAACTCTTCAATTCTATGGATCTTGGACTTGTCTCCACCAAATCTCATTGAAGATGCTTCCAATTTTTCTTCCCTTGCAAGCAAGGAAGACAAATCTGATGTAAGTGTTTGTACTGTCGACAGTGCGGTTGAACGATCGGAGAATGCACTGTGAACAGCTAGCATCAGGCCCAAATATTCATGGAGAGTATCCTGCCAATAAGATGATAAGGTATATGTAATCATACAACATCAAGAAAAATATTCCGTCAAACAATGGTATCTGTATCTATATAAAGACATGCTCTGTAATAAACTACCAGATGTTTGACCGTCTGTGTATTTGATTCTCGATAGAATCTACTTGTTCTCAGAGCAGCAGTTGCAAAATGTTTAATTTCCGCAGCCCGTGATCTCTGTGAATGATAAGTGGCATTTTCCATTTCAAATTTTGCAAGTTTGACGAATGTAAGGCCCAACTCACCCATTGTGTCTCCAATATCTTGTTTTGCTTTCACAAGTGCCTCAGCCTGCATAGAAACAAATGAAGCAAACCTTTCTTCTAGTTCAACAAAACTTATAAAAATGGACACATGCAGGAACATAAGTTGAATGTTAAAATATGCTTCTTTACTAGTGGTTCTGTAGTTCAAGGAATAGAAGAAAATGGATTAGAGTAAATCAAACTAGTTTTGTAGTTGAAAATTGCAGAAAAATAGCACTCTTAATGTAGTTTAGTAGCTCATAGACTACCTTATGTTATTCTGTTATCAATACCCTACTAACCTAGGAAAACTACATAATATCGAAATGCCCTTGCAAATAACAACCCTGCTCCTTTTTTGTTCATTGACTGACACCCTGTCTGGGGTTCTCAATCCTGCAACACTACCTTGTACTTTTCTTTCTCAGAACAAGGCTACACTGTATTGATCGACTGAGTCAAGGCTACTTCATCCTTACATTTTAGACCAGGCTCAAATTGGTTGATGGTCAGGTCAATCACAGAAACCACACACATAGGGGTCATGAAGTTTGGCGAGGCGTGATTGATATGGTTGCCACACATGGGTGTCATGAGCCACACACCGATAGTTTCACGTACCTTACACATATGGAATAGATTAAGCTCTTGATTTATTGCATAATATTTCTCTATACCATCTAGAATGTCAAGATCACTATTGTGCACATTCAACTGATTCTCTGAACTTCAAATAAAGGATCTAAGTAGAGGATGTGTAGATGTGTTCTCTAAACAAAATTGGGACGCTTTTGTTAGTCGCTTAGTTAATTCTCCTCCTCCAGATACAACAAGAAACTCCAGCTGGTATTCAGGCATGCCTAGTTAGTCAATAGGTGCTATGTTCATTTTTAGTACTAAAGACATCCCAAATAGTATACTCACCATGACTCATGACTAAATATTGTACACCATGGTCATTACATTTAAAACATTAAATAGCGAGCAGTTTTATCGCAATGCAAACCGCTCACTCTTAAGGTAAGTTCCACAATTTCACAAAATCTCGAACAAACTTATGAACATGTCAACCTAAATTCTACTAAGAAGCTAAATTTGAAAAGGAGGCAGTTTCCATATGGTCAAGGGAACTAAATGAACTAAAAATTTTCCTCCCTAATTATAAGCAGTCAACACATACCTGCTTGGAAGCAGTTGTGAGCTGCTGCTCCAAATCTTGCAACTTCCCTTTCTTCTCCAAGAATTCTTTATCCTCCTCCACTACCAATGACTTCACACCTCCCCAATCATTGGTCACTGCCTGCTTCAGCTCCCTGAACATCCTCATAAAATCCCTCCTTCCCTTTGCCGGCTGCACCACACCTTGTGTCGCCACTTCAACGTTCCTCCCTCTCGTCTCCCCGGAGACCTGCTTTGATAGTGCCCCCACCCCATCCGACATCCTCAATGCCACTTCCGTGCTCGGCGATGGCGACTTCACCGGCATCCTAAGAAACACCCTTAGCTCATCGCTCTTCACGATCACCGGATGAGCAGCCAGCCGGTTTAGGTACTTCTCGATGGCGGATCGGCGCTGCTCGACGAACTCGTGCTTCTGCATCACCTGGCCCTCGACCACGCTCTTGTCAGGCCGCTGCGGGACAAAGTACCCCCGGTAGGCCTCGCTGAGGCGATCAGCGAGGGCGACCACATCTTTAAACCGCCTCCGGACGCGGATCTCCGCCAGCCCGCCGCCGCTGCCGCTGACGAACCGGGTGGTGATGAGGTAGGTGACAAAGAAGCCGGAGCCGGGGACGAGGGAGGAGGTGGTCTCCTGTTCTTTCTGGGGATCGGAGACGGTGATCCTGGAGTACTCGGAGGCCGAGGATCGGGCGGATCGAGAAGGCGCATCGCTGCCGCGGGGTGAGACGGGGGCGTCGCCGCCGTCATCGCCGTCATCTCCGCCATTCTCGGAGGGGTCAAAGAGGGAGAAGATGGCGTCGGGGTCAAGGGCGCCAGGGGCAGAGGGAAACGGCGGCGAATCGGGGGCCGGAGAGGGGTGCAGGAGGGGATCGCCACCGTTCAAAGCGGCGGGGACCGCGGAGAGGATGCCGCGCCGGTCGCCGGCGACGGGTAGGGCTTCCATCTCTCCTTATTCCAATCGCTCGTTCCCTCTGCTCCGGTATATTAACTCCAGAAGAACAGCGACGACATCAGCTGTCGATAGCGGACGCGGAATAGGGCGGGCGAAACGAAGGCGGAATACGGCGTTCCGGATAACGGCGGCGAAGAGATCTAAAGACGGAGCGTCGGGTTAGGGAAGACGGGGAACGGAATAAGCCGGATATTGTATCAGAAGGACAGGGGACTGATTGGATCATGAGTTGTCCCTATCGTCGACCAATTGACCAGTCAAATAACGCCAGCAAATCAGACCCCAGGTAGAAAATAGGTAATTTACTTAGATCTCTGCTCATGATTGGTTCTATTTAGAGTTTGCTATTTGGCCCAATGTAGCATCACGTCGTCCACCATGGAGATATATATATATTTATATATATATGGCTTGCCTGATATGATTTATGGGATGTAAAATAGAATTGTTTTATTTTTTAATTACTGGTAAAGTATAATTAGTATATTTATTTTTAATTAAGTATTAAATATGTAATATTCTCTCTAGTTTTAATCTAAATTGATCTAAAAATAATTAAAGTTTACCTAAACTTGGTTTAATTTGAATAAATAGACTTATATATTTGTAAAACAAATCTATCATCTCTTGCTTATATTAAGAATGATGGGATTATATACCTGAATTCAGACTCTAAAATAATTATGAAGTACACAAACTCCAACCTCAAAAGATTGATGACGGAGAGATTAAGGGAGACTAAAAAGATTTTATTATAAATTATACATAATATTAACTTATTTTTAAATTAATTAAAAATATTCTTTATGGATCTCAATGATAATACAATATTCATGTTATCGATCCTAAATAATTAAGACTTTGTGACTTTATTGATATTGTTATTATGCAAACTCGAACCAACATACTTTCCTATTTTAACATACTCTAAACCTCATAAATATTTCAATTCCAATTTAGGTATTTAGATATATTTCAGTATCCTTAAAAATATCACACATTCTTAAGAAGAAAAAATAGTTAAATGTATATTATATATGTATATTTAAAGAAAAATTAAAGTAATTATATCGATGATTACCATATATATAGATATGCTTATATATATACATATATATATATATACACATATATATATATATATATATATTATTTTATATATATATATATACATATATATATATATATATACATACATATATATATATATATACATACATATATATATACATACATATATACATATATATATATATACATACATATATATATATACATATATATATATATACATACATATATATACATACATACGTATATACATACATAAAGAATATGAAATATATCGTACAAGTACTAAAATATTATGAATGATATGAGAAAATATCAATGAATATTGGATCAGTATGATTTGTTTCAAACTCGTACAAATAAGAAATCTAGATCTGACATGTATAAATTTCAAGATTTCGTGAGGTGTTCGATATGATCGCTTAGATATTCAAGTTAGTAATAAAACAATACGAATGTTTCAAGTAAATGATAGATACAGTGAGCTAACGGGTTTTTATAATTTATTCAACTGAAAATAAATATTATAGAATATGAGTAAAATATTATATTAATATTTGATATTCGGTTAATGTTCATGTGACTTAATCATTGATTGAATATTGGTCATCCCAATTTGACAAAGATGAATGTTTTTTTATTTTATAATATATATTTATATATTTCGCTAATATTTTTAATTTTTTTATAAGATGATTTTATATGAATTGAAAGATGAGACTTATCAAAACATATTATACGATAATATAGTATCAATCAAGATGTCATAACAAAGACACAATTTTATCTTTTAACAATCACTTTTCTTTCCTTTTTTATGGGTGACGACTTAGACTCATTTGAAAGTGTCGCATTGTAGAGTTCTCCATGGACAATGCCGTAGAGGAGTTGCACTCACCCTAGTGGGTGCTATTGTGATGACATATCGATATATGTCATCCATGTAGACGTCCATATCAATCATACCATAATGGATATCACTTTCGTCTTTGTGAAATATCATAAGTACAGTATCACTTTAAGGAAAAGGGTGAAAAAGAAAAAAACAAAGAGATGACATTGACATCATTCCAAAGCCCCAAACGTCGACATTGCCATCTCTCTCTCTCTCTCTCTCTCTCTCTCTCTCTCTCTCTTTTAGTTAGTGTTTCTCGTAAGAGCTAGAAAAAAATGTGCATGCCTGATGCTCTTCAAAATTATTTAGGTGCATTATCCTTTATATATCTGATAGCGATTTTATGAAAAATAGAATTGGAATCGAATTAATTTTGAAACCATCGATTTTGATTGATAAGAATAAAAATTTTATACTAAGAATCAAACTTAAGTCATTAGATTTTGAATTTAAAAATATATATATCTTAAACTTCTTATTTTTTCATCAGTTTAGAATTCAGGTGGAGTCGAAACCAAACCGTTGACTTTGATAGATTATTTTTATTTAATTCGTGACTTGAATCGAATAGTATCGTATCGTCTAATATTGAATTATATTATGATAAGATTTGCGTTTTCGTGTCCTCTTTCTTTCTTTTTATATTATTTTTTTTAATTTTTAAAATCATATATTGACATCACGTATAGATTTTAAATCTCGGATAAAATATGATTCGCAAACGTTAATAAATTTAAAGAATTATATTATAGATAAATTCTGATATATATATATATATATATAGTTTTTTTTTTGATTTATTTGTTATAGTAAGTAATGTGGGCAATACATAGTTCCATATTTATTTAATTCGTAATTATATGGGGCT